ACTTGATCAAAACCTCGCCGTGTCACAAGTGTTTTAATCAGCAGTTATTACTCGTTAAAGACACCAAACAAAAATCAGATGGACAACCAGCGCCATTTAAATAGTGAACAGAATATCGTTCTGCTCACTCCCAATAAGACGTGCCTGGCGTGTTGACAGCATTTTCAAAAGCTGCGCAAAGCCGGCTGCTGCCGCAATACGTCTCGTACCAGGCATTTTTTGAGACTGTAGTTGCTGAAAAGCAGTGGGGGAGAACATTTTTGCAAATGATTTTACGGCCATGCGATTTTGTGGTGCTAGTTGAGAAAAAAAAAGGGCAGTGGCCTCACGCTCAGTGTTACGCTTATGATTGGCAGTGGCAGCATCTGACCCGTAATCCAAAAGTTCCGCATCGGAACTTAATGAAAAAAAATTGTCAACCCCAGGACCAATATCAGCATTATCTGTATATAGCGGTTGTTGATGGTCTTTGTGGCTACGGCCATGGGCCTGCCCTAGTGAAGAGAATATAAGGTTTCGGTGCAGCTCTTCGTCCGCGTCGGCAATATAATCTCGGGGGAGCTCAGGAATAAGGTCTAGGTCACTTGTGGACAGGGCTGGGAGCATCCGCGAAGACAATCTGCCACGCATTGACGGAGAAGAACCTGATAGCGGGACTGACGGCGACTCTGACCCAGGCCTATGTTTTTTGCCAACGCTGCTGCCAGCCGATCCTGGATGTGAACCTGTTCGTCCCAGCTCTACCGGCGGAGGCGTGTTTTCCCCGCTTTCACGGCTTTTGACTTTATCGTGGATAAGGTTACCGTGTAGCGTGAACAGCCGTGCGAGTGTTGGGGTCGAGTACACCGGATCACCAACAGCTACCTGAAAAAACTCAGAAAAAGTAACAGTTCGGTGCTTTCTCGCACTTGATAACACGAGTGCCTGGTGGCGACGCACTGCGGCTGCCAGCATATGTGTATGATAGTTGTCACGAAAATCGCGCAATGCATCGATTGGCAAATCTATATGGTCATCAAACCCACACAGTCGGCGACGCTTACTCCCTTGCTTTGCTACTGTTGCAGCGGCAACATTGACGTTGGCACTGGTACTACCAATATTCGTAACGGGAAGAGGGAACCCCTCACTGTTAAGCTGACCATTTAGCGCAGCTGCGCGCAGCTCGTCAAGATCCATGCTACTGGCCCCAGGCTCATAAAGTACATGTGCACCGTCGTAGACAGCCATGTCGTCATTGGTTTCTGGTAAGTCAAAATCAAATCTGTTGTGATCATTGTTCCTTGTGGGTATGTCACCAGTAGCAGGCATTGCCCACCCTCTTCCCCGGGGTGGCACATTTTCTCCATCTTCCTCATTGATCAACTCACCGTTTGTACCAAAGTTGAACCCCAAAACTTCATTGTCAAGGGCATCTAATCCACGCTCATCTTCGTATAAAAAGGATCCTAGAAAGTTGCGCTGGTCCGCGGCAGCTTGTTCAATTGACTCGTTAAGTAGTGTAGTGTCGTCTACGGCAGTCTGCAATGAAATGTCAGCTGCCCCTCCATGTAAGCGATGGTGATTCCTAGTCCTACCATCTTCCTCCTCTACCACCAACGAGTTTCTCTCCAAAATTGGAAGGCCCGGGAGTAGAAAAAAGTCGAGACTAAACGCAGGATCGTTTTGCAGCTCAATTTCATTCCCTCTTCGTCTTTTCCCTGTAGCCGTTACGAGATCAACTGCTGCAGTAGCTGCAAAAAACTGACGCTTACGCTCGCCTTCTTCAAAGCTCATAATTTGGGTTCTGACTCCCGAAACGTCGGCTAAAAGGTATTTGATCTGCTGACCATAGATCAGAGATACACCGTACAACAATTGCGATGATAGCCGAAGTGCTAGTGGACCTGCCGGTGGCTCTTCAATCATTGCACACACTTGCGGTACTGGTGTACCTAAAATATCTTGTTTGTTTATCTTGCCGCTCATTTGCTTTGTGCCAAGCGTTGCCATAAGCCATGCAGTTGAGAATCCAGATGTTCTGTTGGTAAGGAACTCAGAAGAAAAGAACATCACAGCAATGACTACTATTACTACCAAGTGAACAAGACGCGTCAGTTAAAATGCCAATGTTTTATTTATTTGTTTTTTATTTACTCGTATCAAAATTTACCTGCTTTATATGCTTAGTGCTGAGTCGCTACGCGACATACACCATGTTGCAGTGTAAAGCTTTTTTTTTGTGTTGGGTTCAACTCATGTGTGAGCCCGTTGACTTATTTGGTGAGCTCGACAATCTTTTCAAGACTCAGACTCTTGGGGCGCTCAATGGGCAGACCAAGGATGCGATCCCAGATAAGCTGTGGAAGTGGGCCGAGAGCACGGGAGACACCGAAGGTGACAGTGTAGTAGAGGGTCTCAGTAATGCCGTAATGGTGGAAAAGAACACCAGAAGACGAGTCAACGTTAGGATGGGGGTTCTTAGTCTTGCCGTGCTCGGTAAGCACACCAGGCGCAATATCAGCGTTCTTGAGAACAAGCTTGACAGTAGGGTCGTTGCTAACGTCAGGACGCTCGGTAGCGAACTTGATGAGAGCATCAAAGCGGGGATCGGGCTTGCGCAGAACAGCGTGGCCGTAACCGGGAATGACACGACCAGAGTTAAGAACAGACCAAAGGTAGTCCTTGACGTCCTTATCAGTGTAGTTCTCGGGGATGGACTTCTTCTGGTCAAGGATGAAGCGGAGCACCTCCTGGGCAGCAAGACCATGCAGGGGGCCAGCAAGACCCTGAAGACCAGCAGAGTAGGAAAGGTAAGGATCCGCCAGAGCAGAGCCAACTAGATGGGTGGCGTGGGCAGAGACATTACCACCCTCGTGGTCACCATGAAGGGCAAAGTAAAGTCTGAGGAGATCAACAAAACCCTTTTCCTTCTCCTTGCCCATCATGAGGGCATAGTTGTAGGACCAATCCTTGGTGAGATCAACCTTACCAGGAAGAGGGCCGCCGCCGCAGTAAGTGTTCTGGTAGATTTTGGCAGCAATCTGGGGAAGCTTGGCAATGAGATCGAGCGAATCGTCAAAGGTGTACTCCCAGTACTTGGACTTGTGGATGCCGCTCTCGTAGGCCTTTGCGAATTTGGAGTCGTGATTGAGAACAGAGACAGCCATGGCAAACTGAGTCATGGGATGAAGGGTAGGAGGCAGGCTATCCAGAAGCTTGACAGCGTAGTCAGGAAGCTCAGCGTTCTCAGCAAGCTGGCGAGACAGCTGGCGGGTCTCCTCTACGGAAGGGACTTTTCCGGTAAGAAGAAGCCAAAGCATGGCCTCAGGAAGCATCTCACCGCCATCCTCAGCCTTGGGAAGAATTTCCTGGCATTCAGCGATAGTCTTGCCGTGGAAGCGAATACCCTCGTTAGCATCAAGAACGGAACCCTCCCAGAGCATAGCCTTAAGACCACGCATACCGCCCAAGAGGTTCTCGACCTTGACATCACCGAGAGACTTTTGGCCAAGCTCGGACTTGACCTTCTTGAAGAGCTCGACCTTAGCAGGGATGACCTCAGTGAGAGCTTCTTTAAGAGTGGCAACACCACGGCGCTGGACAGCGGCCCGGGCAGAGGCGTTAACAACGCCGATAGATTTAGAAGTCAGCTTGAACATTGTAATTGTGTTGAATGTGCTGTTGTATGGGTTGAGGTATGAAAAAGGAAGTCGATAGATGATAGGACCAAGAAGAGTATTTAATGAGGATATGGGAGTGTTTATATAGAAGAGCTGAATATTGTAGAGACAGTTTAATACTGATTGGAAATTTAGATAAATAAGGTATTGTTCAAGTCTCCGTGAAAATTGAATCAAATGAAAACTATTAATTATTCACTAATTATGGGGCTAAACCTAAAAAAAACAAAAAAAAAAAAAAACACTCGACATTTCCGTTTTAAACAATGTGGGGTGTTACAAATGCGGGGTGATGGCCTCTTGTAAGGCTGTCCCTGCCTAAACCTATGTTATTGCCCCAACCCTTGGCCGATGCCTTTTCCGGTCGGGCTTTTGTCTTTTTCAGCACCGAACAGTAGCTGCAACCCTTAAAACCCGTAAAAGTCAACGTCAATTTGATTCATTTTGACATTTTGTTTGTCTCTTCATTCCTACTCATTAATTAAACTTGGCAATACTCGCCCTTTGTCCGATAGCCGGAAATCGGCTCTCAATGTATTTAGTTCAAACAATTACTAGAACCTTTTACAGACTGCCTGCCACGAGCTTCTATTACTGCCATTAAACTTGATAGCGTTATTTTTTAATAGACAGATAATAAGTTTATTATCTTTATATCAAACAGTTACAAATCAGTTTACTAAATAACATACAGTGAAGGTACTTGTAGAGCGAGACTTGTTGAGACAATTTTTCCCCCGAGCTTGATCCCAAGGCTCTTATTGACACCAAGGATCTTGGAGCGGTAGTCGAGTTCCTCAATTCATTGCCACAGCTTTTTTTATTGGCGGTTCGCTTGATTAGAGCACCTTTTAAGGTTCTATTGCGTGTCAATTTTTGGTCTCGATCTACGGAGCGTTACGTCTTGCAGTTTCCCCTTAACCCATGGAATTATTCATAGACAGTTAGGCGCCACCAAACTCTTGAACTTCTTGTATACTTTGACACTGCTACCTTGCCAATCTCATAGAGACAATTGCTTTGAAGTTCATGTATTCTTTGTACATCACTTTTTTTTATAAGTTTGTTTGTACCTTTTTGATGTAGGAACAATAAACTGGTTATCTACCTATCGACAAGGTATATTTGGAATTAGGGTGAACAGGCAAGTGAAGTTATCTCAAAAAAAAGTTTAAAACTCCAAACATAAACTAATAATAGTTTTTATTACTTTATCAAAGACATTAGACTTTTGAAATAGTAAAATTTAATAATGAAAAAAAAAGACTTTTTTTAGCATTGACTATTTTTACAATATTTAGTATTAATATAAATATAAAATATAATCTTTAAGATTACGGGCGTCTGGTGTAGTTGGTTATCACACTCGCTTAGCATGTGAGAGGTCCCCGGTTCAATTCCGGTGTCGTCCAATTTTTTTGTTTTTGTCAACTACAAAGTTTGTTTAGTTCCAGAATGGTATTTGGTCCCTTTCTATGACTTAAGACTTGTCATATTTTCTTCTTGAATAAAGTTTTGTAAGTTAGCGCTCGGACATTTCTCAAAAAACCACCGAGAAATGCCAACCTGGCTGAACCCTGGACCAGCAGACCATACTAACGTGCTTTAAATTGTTATTGTTTTTTAGCCTCTCCCGGAGTAAATATGCTTTTTCGCCGCCCTTGACACTATTTTTTTGCTTTCCGTGCTTCGGTGCCGTCTGTCCCTTTTGTCCTGACCATAGGTCTCTGTTGCAAAGTGTCGTGATGTTTCAAAACGGTATCCTTGAGGGCATGCTTTTTTTTATTTCAACTACACGTCATATAATTTCAATAAAGCTTTTTGGTGATAAAGCTCCGTTGATGCGAGTGTTGAGATTGTTTATTGTTCATCTTAAGTACACCTAAAGATGTCAACTTGGCAGTTTCTCAATACCTGTTGTCTGCTTACCTGCTCGGATATACCGGCCCTTTGAAATTGAATTTGTCTACTTTTACACAATTATCATTCCTAGGAATCTACAAAGGGTCATGGGTTTTAATGATAAACATTTGCTTTTCCATTAGATTATAATGCAAGACGACGATAGTGATGTGCGTATTAGCTTTTCCAGGCTTGACCAAAAAAAAAAATAAAAAAGCTAGTGGTTTCGCACAGGTGAATAATCCATAAAGTGGGGGAATAAGACGGTGTTGTTTGTCCTCCTTACTCCCTTTTTAATTATTTTCTCCGAGCTCCGACACGAGATTAACCTTAATTCTGGTGTCGTTGTATTACTGTTATCACTTTTTTTTTTTTCCAACCAGAGTTTTTCACACGCAGTCATTAATACTAGAGGCTAATCAAAGGTAAAAGAACAGCAACCAATAAAGTTGTTGCTAACGGAGAAATAGATAATATTAGTCCAATGGGATATGATTTGCCGGAATTTATTTTTGTGATCTTCTAGCTTTCTTGGACTTGAAGAAGTGGTCATTGGTTATAACCACTATTATTTAACAACTCATATTCACATAATGATGGTAATATCACCTGTCACTCCTATTGTCGCTGATGATTCATGATTTAATGTAGAATGAATTGTTTGTTTTGAAACCGATTCCAGCATCTGACATTATGTTTAACTAATAATTGTGGGTTTCACAGCAGCTGTGAAGAACACTACAAAGTCCGAGGACATTGAGATCTTTTCTTGTAACCGCGCGAACCTGCCATGGAACCAGAATTGGCGGTGTATACTGACTACAAGTATATTTTGGGGCCTATAGCAGTACAAACTGTTACTGCTACCGTACCTGTTGTTAACAACACTCCGGGTATACGGGGTCGATTCTACTTGATATGATTAGGTCGACAGGGAGGAAAACAATTAGATAGTATTATATCTGAATAGATTGTATGTAACTATTTGATGTAAGGACAATAAACTGATTATCTATCTATCTATATCTGAATAGAACGGAGAACTACCAGGGACAACTATCTAAATGCCAAGTATCATAAACTAATTGTGGGCATCAATCCAGGTGGGGACCCTTAATCATGCAGCTAATAGTTGATGGTAAAAGGAATCCCCAGGAAGTACTCCAATATATGATTTTAATTTGGGCCAACTCATTCGCAAAGAAGCAACGCTAATTAGGAAGATGGGATTGGATTGTCTGATAAAAGAAACCCAAGGCTAAGCTTGTTTAACCAAAAATGGAGTGGTTCGGAGGGATATTGGCCGAGATCAATTTCCTAACTAAGGTGTCTAAAGTGATTAATTAAGAAAGATCCCAAGCCTTGTTGAGTTGTTTTGAGAACTGTAGAGGCTTTTGGGGTCCACTTAACATAAACCCAGGCATCTTGTAAGATTATGTAAGGAATGAAACCCTACTAAGACTTAGGATATTCTTATCTTAGTTACAAGCCTTATGTCCCTTGATGCATTTCTGAGCATCAATGTAACAAGTATAGACCACATCTGAGAATTGGTTTACAACTTACCCCACATGTGTATCCCTGATAGAGCTTTATATTCTTTCTCTTGGAACTGTTTTTATCTTTTTTTACTTGATGCCGTTTGACCTCCTTGTTTTTTTCTCACTTGTAATTTTAGCATTGTTGAATATATATAAATACTACATAATTTCCATATCTTGGAGAATGCGGCAGTATCAAATATGAACTTAAGATACGTACTGACACAGGTAAATTGCCAGTCTCATGGAGACAAATGTGTTCAAAAATCATATGGTCTTTATATGTTATTTTGTTTAACAATTTCGTTTATAACTATTTGATATAAAGACAATAAACTGATTTGCCATCGATCTAATTATTGACTAACCAAAACACTTGGGGGTCTTGGATGCATTAAAAGACTCAAAACGTTTCAGCAGAAGAAATATTTTAGGTGGGAATCAAGGGCCCGAATAATGATAACTTTCTTTAGACCATAGGAGAAACGGGAGACACCATTAAATGCCATCAATATGGTCAAAGCAGATACAACATGGGTAAACTTGTGAGGGATAATAGAGCGGAAAATATTATGGAGAAAATTTGAAGAAGCTCGGAGGGTGAAAAGATCATGAGGATTGTGGCAGTTACCAGTTCTGAGGTAGGCTTGATGTTTTAGGCCAATGCTGAATAACTCGTTAGAGATATTAAAGACATCAATGGAAACAACAACGACTTAGTGACGTCTAGTCCCTTGTGACAATGTTAATTTAGACAATGGAGCTTATGACTATATCCCTTATGGTAATTGCTCATTTGACAAAGTGACTGCTTACAATTTAACTTACGGTGAGATCTTTTCTAATAATGTGACCAGTGACAATAGTCCATATGACGATGTGATTTCTTATAATCGGCCTCATGACTATGTGACTCCTGACAGTTAACCATCTTATAATCTGGTCAGTGATAATTGGGCGTCTAAGGATAACCCTTTTGAATACTGGCTGTCTGAAGATGTGAACGTTGACAAATAACTGCCTGACAATTGGACTTCAGAAAAATGGCCGCCTGACAATATGATCATTGATAGTTGGTCTACTGACGATGTGACCTCTGATGGTTGACCGTCTGACACTTTTCTAAAACCAAAACCAGCAGATATCCAATCCAGAAAATGATAATGAAATCTATAAAAGGTCACTCGTCCGCAGGATCACAAGTTATCTTATGGTCTTTATGACATAGGGTCTCGTTACTTGATGTCAGTAACATCAAAGCTCTTCTGTGTTTAGTCGTATCTCCAATTAAATATTTGTTTTATTCATTTTAAATGCTTTTTTCTTTCTTTCTTTTTTTTTTTGTCTTCGAGTTTGATCATGTTCGCTACATAGCAGCTGTCATCCATGCCATGTGCCTATATTTCTTTTTTTTATGACGAATTTGATATTAACACCTTCTTACCTATCTACAGTCCTTATAATAATGTATATTTTCTTTTTGTCTAGTCAGTTGGTTTATATTAAAAAAATGTCTAATGAACTCATACCAATTGTGCCAACGAAGGACTCACTATGGCAAAAAAAGTGTAAATGGGAGTGGAAATCCCCCGTAATTTTATTTTCTTCCACCTTTCTATTTTATTTCATCTCAAGTTATCTTTCTAATTTTTGTTTTCTTTTTCCTTACGGATTTCTTATGAAAGAGGTTTAAGAGAACTGACATCCAGTTACTAAAGAAAAAATATACGCAAGATCATTAGACGTTTGCAATAATTTGTTGTACTAACTATGTGGTTTCCTTTTACAGTTATTGAACAACGAAATGCCATTCCATTTCCAAACCTACGTTAACATTGCATCGCTAATGACACCTATGGCTTCTTCAGCAAGACAAGGCCCCCTAGTGGTGGGAAATTTCAACTTACCAGCAAGGGTTCCTACTAATGGCTCTGCAGGACAGCCCGTGCCACTTGAGAAGCACGGATTAATGAGGTTTATAGCTCCACAGAGTCTAGCAATGCCCGTGCCAATCCACCCATCCACAGCAATTTGAAGTCTACTTCTAGTACTTTGAACCAGCTCAAAACATTTTCGGTTCTTAACAGAAAAGATGGATCAAAGATTATTAAGCCTAACTTGTCTAAGCCACAAGCATTGACTGTAAGAAGATCTTGAAGTGTTCGAGTCAAGAATGCCCTTGCTGCATCAAAGACTTTGGTTCAGGCTAAGTGCCAACAAATAAAACATGTATTTAAGAATCGTATTCACGGGTCACAATTGTCCCCAGATGAATCTCAACAAACAAACAGTTTCTATGAGTCAAAAAGGTCTATGATTCGTAAATTGGATGTCGAGAGTCATGCCAGCAACAATCTACAGTTGAGATGTGGTGCCCCTAAGGCTACCACTGCCAAAGGCAAGCTTTCATCCACTTCTTGATCAGTTGAATTGAGAAAGGGTATGTTGTCATCATCAAGTGTAGGGAAAACCAAGAGGGGTTCACTTGAGGCTGCTCTTGCTGAATCGAACCCAGACCTAGCTAGGCGCCTACGAGAGGCTTATGAATCTGAGGCAAAGCTGTATGAGATTTCTATGTTGGAAGTCAGCAATCAAGGCAACAACAATTCGCAGTTAGAATGTGATGCTCCTAAGGTTGCTGTGGTCAAAGATAAGTTTTCATCCACTAGTAGATGCGATCGAGGAAGTTTCAGAAACACCATTGCAAGATATGGCTTCTCGTGCTCTAGATGTTTATCTGCATCCTTGAATTCAATTAAAGAATCCGAGACTCCCAAAACTGAACCACAGGAAATGACACTTATCTCTTACAATGCTATCGGGGGATCCAACTCGCTCAATTCCGGTCTTCCGCCCATGTCTAATATTTTTCTAGGCCTCTTCTCATATTATGATGTGGCCAACGACTGTTCTTTCGACCAGTCGCATGCCACATTATCAGTAACAGTTTCTACTAATACTTCTACAGT